CTTATTAACATATTCAATTTTTCTAATTTACGTCGCTGATACTACTCGGGGATCTTTGGAAATATTCTTCTGCCGAGTATCATCTTTTATTCGACTCAGATTTGCGAGATTTCCGTAACAAAGGTATTCGAATCGCTTTTTATTTTTTCTAACGAGCTGATATCTTCAGGTAACACGCGCTAGTTTCATTCTTAATAGCACTTTCAGCTCTTATCTCCTATGATATAACGAGACGCAAATTTATAAACGTTAAAAAGTTTCGCGGCTTTGCTGCAGGATTTTATCCCATTATACAATTTTAACGCTAAGTTTCTCGTATCTTTGTCCTCCGATCCCGCAATATAGAGGGGAAATTATTCGGCTCATATTTTTAATGCATTTATCTCATCAGATCTCTTTCGAACTCTATATAAAACTCTTTATTTATGATTTTCCAAATAATTTCTTCAAGTTCTCAGTGTCAAGTGCATCGAATCCCCAATCAGTCACGAACGCCTAACCTAACAAATCCCCAAATTACGCGAAGTTACCGTTTTACCTGTTCGTGCGAGTTTCAGAAATAGGCTGACTCTTCCTCACTCGTCCCGTGCACACGCGTTCCCTCTCGTCGTCCCCCGCATAAATAACCCACCCACGAAATTTATGGTAATAAGCTGCCAGCCCGAACTCCCAGCCCCATAAACAACAATACCTAAAAATTTCTCGGCTCGAACGTATTTCTAATTACAACGTCCGTTTTTTTCTCTGTTCCAGGTACGTATCCCCCAATCGGTCATTTAACGGAGGCCATCGTACACGCGTAAGTTCGAAATCAAGGGCCCATTCATTCCTATTCCCCGTCGACGCTCAATTAAGTCAGGTAAACAATGAGAAGAGGGGGCCAGACCGTTTCGACCACCGAGTCGAAACCCCTCTCCCTCCCTCCCTCTCTCTCTCCCTCTCTTATCTTCCCTTTTCCTTTTTTTTTTTCCTCTTAATTTACGACGCCACCGAAGCGGCCTCGATAATCAGGACCACGTCGCTGGAATAGCAGCCCCCCCTCTCGCGACTTTCTTTTCCCTTTTTTTTTTTTTTTTTTTCTTTTTTTTACCTGCCGGATTAGCAGCGATATCGGCCACGACCAATGCATGCACACTGTCGTCCTACGTTCCGCGCCAAGATGGAAGCCGGGGTTGGAAGAAGGAGAGAAGGATGAGACGAGAAGGGGGCGAGAAAGAGAGCAGGCCGGTGGTGATGGGGAGGGAGCGGTTTATGCGTTTCTTTCGTCGCGGGGTTTCGTTTGCAATAATTTATGCGGGGAGACAGCTTGAGAAATGACCGTTGGCTCCTTGTGCAACCTTAATTTGCAACAGTTTACTTCGGCTACGTTTCGAGGGACGGTCGTTAGAGAGAAAGAGAGAGAGAGAGAGAGATATGGATGTTATGGGTGCCGCGCTTCGGATCGCATAAAGACATTTATCGCGGATCGAGCATCGATGAGGATCGAGGGGAAAAGAAAAAAAAGGAGAAAAAAGGAAGAGAAGGAGGAATGCTTTGGCCCCGGACTAACTGGTATAATTAGCGATACAGTGTTGTCCGTGGATGCCGTGTGGGCGAGGGGGCCGACAGAGAGAAGAGCCGGCGACTTGTGGCCCCGCTTATCGCTATCGTTGGAATGCATTGTGGCCGGGTGCTACGTAAAATATGGACGCGTTCCCGAGGTGAAAAATAATAAGAGAAGGAAAAGAAAAACGTATATATGTGTGTATATATATATACATATATATATATATATACACTTTTATTTACGCGGTTTCCTCTATCTGATCTCGTTCCCCGCGAGCCACGTTGTCTTGTTCGTTGCCCACGTTGCATGTCTTCGCGGAAAGTGTTATTAGAAATTGTTAACTGTCGACCGTTCTAATCGCGGGAACGGATTGGAACTGATAAGTGGAACGTTTATGAAGGTGTTTACAAACAGTTAGCGGTATCTCGCGGGAGATATAAAGCATAAGTAATCTGAATGAGGCTCGGTGTAATGATTGAAACGTAAGGAAGTGGTCGTGTACGATAGCGTGGCTTGTTTTATAAGATCAATCGCAATTTAAAAACTTTCTGTTATTATTGCGATACACGATTTTTACTTAAAAAAATATTCGATATGCTTTTAACCTCTTGAGCAACCTTTGCGTTCCCCCGTGTATATTTTGCGTTTATCCGTGTGTGAATCGATCGATTTGAAACTCGACGAAAAATAGTTGCGCAAATCGAGCTAAACTAGATACTTGACTTCGACGAATCTTATTATTCAAATGCTCTTTATTCCTCGAAATTATCCGTTCAACATCCTCTCACTGATAATTCGTGTTTTCAAAAACTACGCGCCTCGATCCAGAGTATATTTACATCCGATTTGAAGCTGTTCTTCGATACGAATCGAAACTCGGTTGGAGTTCTCACGATGGGTAAAGAGTTAAGAAAAAAATAAAAAGATGATGGATTCGGGATTCGACGTTCGGTCTTAAAGTGCAAAGAAACGACGCGTCATTTCGCTCGTGTCAGCGGATAAATCGAGGGAACGAAATCGGGAACGCCGACATCTCTGAACGACCTCGAACGATCGCTGCAATCGTCGAAGATCACGAGAAATCGTTCTGCTGTTGCATGGTCCGGTTGTAGAGAGGAGGACTACGGTATATACGTCAGCGTAAAGAGTCGTTGAAACATTAAACTGACCTTTCCGGTTCATTGGACATATATATCGGCCCGTAGCCCGTGGTATATACCCGTGAGACAATTACGCTGTAACGATCCACGACCACGATCCATCAGAATTCCGTCACGCGTCGTGAGCATAACCGTGATTCGATGAAATTCCCTTTCGGCCTTCCTTCCCTCCCCCAACCCTTTTCGTCCTGCGTTAAACGGTGATTTAAAGGGGAGAATCGGAAACAATCGATGGAACGCCGAGCCGAGTTTCTTGGAAACGAACGCATACACGCGTGTGTCCGCCATATTTGGACGAAGAAATTCGTTTCGTCCGCACGATGAAAGGGATTTTGTTCCTTCTATAATAAGAGGGAGGATAAAAGTTGCGATAAAAATTGCGATGATGTGAATATTTCTAGCATATCGTTGTCGATCGTGATATATCTTATTGAAGAAAAAAGAAAATGAATAAGGATCGATCTTCAAGAAGTCTACATTACTGTACACGCTAGTTACTTTTTTACAGTAAAAAAATTTACTTCTTACCTAAACCTCTACCATAACAATTTTTCTATCGTAAAATAAAGCGAAAGAAATAACCTCGAACGCGCCCGAGTTCATGCATCTTTCAAGACCATTCCATTTCGAACCCTCCCGAATTCTCCGGGCAAACATCGATATTTAACCGCAAACGAATCCACTTTTCGTTTCGAATCGAAGAGACGGATGGAAAGAGATGGAAAGAAGAAAAGAAGAAGGAGAGGCTAGGTTGGGGCGTGGGGAGGAGGACAGAGCGACGAGGCGAAAAGCGTAGTAGCGCGGGATGAAGTCAATTACATTATGCATATGACTGGTGGAAAGCAATACAAGAAGCAATCGACCAACGATGGAGGCATGCCACCGCTAAATTAACTACCTACCTAGTTGTGCGTAATGCAATAATGTATTAGCTGTATCTACTTCAACCCCTCGTCCACGCCACCTCCTTCTTTTCCTTCTTGTCCCTTTTACATATTCCAACCATTGCAAGGACTCATTCCTCCGTATTCTTCGTTTCCATTTACTTGATCTATTCGTATCTTTCTATTTCTTTTTTTTTTTTTTTTTTTTTTTTTTTT